GGGTAGCCCCTGACTCCCCTGAGGCCTCACTGTAAAGGTGCACTTGAGCAAAGACCCAAAGAAGGTGTGGGATGAACAGACTTTCCAGCAGAGGGAACAGAGAGTGCAAAGGCCTTGAGGCAGTGGTATGCTTGGCATGTTCCAGACCTAGCAAGGAGGCCAGTAGAGTGAGCCAGGGTGGGCGGACAGGTGTGGCAGAAGAGGAGGTCAGAGGAGGTCTCTGTGTGAGTGCACAGGCATGTGGACCACTGTAGATAAGGAAGAAGTCTTCTTCTCCGGGTGAGATGGAGCCATGGGAAGGCTTAGAACAGAGGAGTGACATGATCTCTTAGGTTTGTAATAGGAATGTTATGGCTGCTGTGTTGAGAATAGACCACAGGTGCACAAGAGTGAAAACAGTATGACCAGGGGAGAGATGGTTGCAAGAATCCAAGTGAGAGATGGTGAAGCCAGGAAGGAGTGAAAAGTCATTGAATTCTGGTTATATTTTGGCATGAAACTAACAGAATTTCCTGACGGACTGGAGGTGCGGGAAGAAGAGGGCTCAAGAATTTGGGCTAGTTGGTTCTGGACACCCTATCTGGGTGTAATGGAGGTGGTGGTGGTTGGAGTGGCTGAAAGGCTTCCACACCTACAGCTCTGCCTGGAGAGAGCACCCTCCAGGTGCTCTTGTGTCCCCGCTGCAGCCCTGGTACCACTCTTTATGCCCCCAGCCACCCACCCTGACACAATGCTGGTTCTTGCCACATGTAACCACAAAGGTGGAAAGTTCTCAAAGCATTTATGGTGAATGCCTCTCTTCAAAGAATAGACCACTTGGGTTTGAAGGAACCTTAAAGATCACCTATGGAAGACTCTGTTGGTTGGTAAAAACAGACAAGCTCTCTATAATTAAGAAAAAACAGTAGTGATCAAAGGCCTAGGAATAGGCTAAAAAGGCAAAGCTGTCAGCATAGAAGGCAGATCCTTGCTCTGTTGCTCTCATGGTGAAACTGAGCAGAACCCTGAGGGGCTTCTAGGCACGAAAGCCTTTCTGTGTCCCCTGTTTCTTGTTTGTAGGGAACAGCCTCCAGCCTCCATGACCTTCCCTGAGTTCCACAAGACAAATTCGAACAGTTGCCAATCAGGGAAGGGAGGGGATGCAGAAACCAGGCAGGAGCAGGCAAGAAACAATAGCGCAGCCTTGGGGCAGGTCCTGGTTCTGCCTCAAGGGATACACATAACAATCTCTTTGAGCTCTTTACAGAACTAAAACCCCCAATAAATGGCAGATGTCAGCATTCTTCACTCCAGAGATGACGACAGTTTGATAACCTTGAGAAGCTCAACAGACCACCTGAGACCAGATTACAGGAATGAAGACCCTGCACACACCCTGATCCTTATCAGCAAGCCTGCCCTTGAACCCTTGCTATAAAACTCCTCACCAGGGGCTTCCCTGGTGGCGCAGTGGTTGAGAGTCCGCCTGCCGATGCAGGGGACACGGGATCGTGCCCCGGTCTGGGAATATCCCACATGCCGCAGAGCAGCTGGGCCCGTGAGCCATGGCCGCTGAGTCTGCACATCTGGAGCCTGTGCTCCGCAACGAGAGAGGCCACAATGGTGAGAGACCCGTGTACCACAAAAAGAAAAAAAAAAAAACTCCTCACCAAATCCTCCTGGGTTGGGACACACAGTTTTTCAGGTCACAAGTCCACTGTGTCCTCCTCTGCCTGCCAAAACAACAAAGCTGTTCTTTTCTACCTTACCTAAAACTCCGTCTCTGGGATTTGATTTGGCACTGGTGCACAGAGGCCAAGTTTTCGGCATCAGTAGCCTCTCTACTGTCTTGGCACATCCACTCCATTCACTTCCTGTGGCCTTCAGTTCAAATTTTTGAGGAAACTAGGGTGATTGACTTAATTACCATGGCCCATGCTGGATACCAAGCTGCTTTGAGGGTACTGGCAGCCTTTGTTTGGCTATGGTGGCCTTGGAAAGTGCCCAGCCTGGTCTAACTCAGGACCACCCTTGACCAAGGAATGGACTTGCTGTTTCCCCAAGGAGGATAACTGACTCAACCGGCACATCCTTCGTTGATAAAGGTGACCCAGAGAATCAAGGGACTTGGCCAATGTTCCAGAGGGAGTAGAGAATGAGAAACATGAGCTCAGGCCTCCCAAAGCCCTGTACTGACAAAGCAGCAGGGCTTGTTTCCGATGATGCTCCTCCCAGGCAGCCACATGCCTTCTACCACTGGGTGGAACTTTATACGATTTCTAGTACATCCATGACACACGTATCATCCCTAGAAATAAAGGGAAGAACTGGGGAAAAACCACACAATTATCAAGTGCTGTTGGACATAATCATCAATTTGAGAGGCTGGCAAACTTTCTGTGAAGGACCAGATAGCAAATATTTTAGGCTTTGAGGGCCAGATGGTCTCTGTCACAACTATTCAACTCTGTCAATGTAGCACAAAAGCAGTCATGGACAATATGTAAATGAATGGATGAGGCTATGTTCCAAGAAAACTTTATTTATAAAAGCAGGCCGCTGGCGGGACTCCCCTGGTGGCGCAGTGGTTAAGACTCCACGCCCCCAATGCAGGGGGCCCAGCTTCGATCCCTGGTCAGGTAACTAGATCCCACATGCATGGCACAACTAAGAGTTCGCATGCCACAACTAAGGAGCCCGACTGCCGCAACTAAGACCCAGTAAAACCAAAACAAAGAAACAAACAAAAAACAGGCTGCTGGCTGACTTGGTTCACAGGCTGCATGCAGTTTGCTGATCCCCTTAACTAAAAGGTTATGAAATAGTTTAAATGGTGCATCTTGAGTACTAAGGAACAAGTAAAAATTAACTAGTTGAATCCTTTTTCTTGGCCATCACTGTGTTTGAATATTTGTAAAGTAGGAATACAGATCTTTCTTACCTTCCTAATTACAAATATTAGAGCATTTATGAGAAATCACCATTTGCCTTACAAGACAGGTTTTAGGAAGGGGAAAGCAAGGAAAAAGTACAATGACAGGGATAATCACTTCTAATATTTCTCCTATGATTGAGAAACCAATAATTTTCAAACTTTTCTCTTATTCCTCCTTAACCAGAGCTAACACACAAAATTAACTGCTTAAATTTCAATCATTATCCTATTCTCAAGCAGAGGGTTTGCAAAGCAATGAAAATGCTCCAACTCAGGTAAACAAAGAAGCAAAGATAATCTGGGGAATCTGTACACCTAAGTAGGTACCAGTTTTACTCACATCACTCTTCCTCTAATAGATAAGGGTGCAACCAACACTGCTTTAAATCAGAATCCCACCATAGGAAGGCTGTGGTTATTACCTGTGCCCTCTAGTAATTCAAGGCTATGACGAAGCCTGATGCTTCTGAGAAGACAAAGCACTCATTCCTTCCACAGAAACCTGTACTACTCCAGGCCCCAAACCACAGCTAACTCACAATTGTATTCTCTGGTTGCTCAGCTAGGAGCTCCAAACTTCATGCAATTCAGTATCTTATTTGCTCTAACCCTCTGTACCTTGAATACAGGCAGCCAGGTTACAGCCACGCAGTTACCCAACGCATTTCTGCAAGAATAAATCTCTTTCCTTACCAGAGGGTTGCCAAATAATTACTCAAAAGTGTCAGAAAGATGGGAGGAGCAGGGTGAGGGGAAATAAGAGATTGAGACTGGGTCCAAAATAGAAACATCTCCCCCTTTTCCAAACTCTGCATTGTGGGAGCTCCGGTGAAACATGCTTTGGCCCTGTGATCCACAAGGCTGCCATTATTACCTATAATGTAATAAGCCAGGTGTCATATTTCATACGTGTCAGAAGAACCCATGTTAAGCTAAAATACTGAATTGCTAAGATAACTTAGAAATTTCAAATAATTGAACTACTTCATGTGTGATCTATGTCTTTTGATGGTGTTCTCTTTCTAAAATGAAATACTTATGTGTATGGCTCCCAAGTTCTGAGCTTAGACTCAGACCTAAGCACCTTTTATGGTCAGGCCCATAGTTCAGGATACTTCTCTTCCCTCTCTCCTCACTTAAAAAAAAAGTTATTAATATTACATGGTAGCCTTTGACTTTTCAGGGGCCATGCACACCCTCTTCTGGTCACTTCTAAGAAAACCTGATCACTGTTAGGGAAGGAGGAACTCTGTCAGCAGTAGTACAAATTTTGGTCCTAAAAAGGGAACTATCCTGATAACAACTGAGAGGCATCCCTCCTTTCTCTCTGTGATCATCAAAACTTAATTTTTCATTATGAAAATTAGTGAACCTACTATTTTCTAACAGATGAGTTTTCAGATTTCCTCCACTTCATTGTGATACAGTGACAAGGTCTGAGACAACTCCAGGCAAAGGGTGATCAGGTGAGGCTCAGTAAATCCAGTCTCTGAGGCAATCAGTTCAGTCCCGGCAGATCTCACACTGCAGAAGACACGTGAAGATGAGGGGAAGCCCTGCTTAGTTTGCACACATTGAGCATTTTGTGCTGACATAACATAGAAGACATAGTGAATAAAAGCACAGACTTGACCACAGGACTGAGTTTGAATCCCAGTTCTGCTAATTTACCAGCTGTGGAGCTTGGGCAAGTTACTTAACATTTCCATGATTATTTCATCATCTAAAAAGTGAGAAATTATAATAGTATTTCCTCATAGGGCTGCTGTGAGGATTAAGTAAGTTAATATTGGGAAACAGCTTAGAACAATGTCTGGCACAGAGTAACTAGCATAAAAAGGAGAAGGAATTGGTAGGAGCCTTTTCCTAACACTAAGATGGTCTCTGGTGAGATGGTTAGACCCATGCCACAGATCACACCAACCATAGAGATTTTTACTAGTTACTCCTTCCTGCAGATTTTACCTTCTTTGGGCAAACCCATGAGAGCACTAAGGGATACCACAAGCTGGACTCTTCTTTTCTCTATCCTACAAGTTGGGCAAGTCAGGAATTCCTCAAGCACCTATTCTGAAATGATAGACTACATTTCAATAATCATTTTATTAGTTACAGAAGAATTTCCACTAGTATTTACATAGTGCAAAAAAGCTGTTATTACCCCTATAATGTGATATAGCAATCATCCTTCATACAGCAAAAGACCTATCAAGATGAAAATCCCTTCATGTTATAATTCACACTAACTCTGCTAGTTTTTAATTAGAGCATTACGATTAAGACAGTAAATTATAAATTCATGTGGTATATTTAGAAATTAAATTACAAAATAATACAAATCCTCTTAAGGTGTGATGTGCCAACAAAGTTTAAATTTTTATCATTAATTAGAATTCAGATTTCAGATTAGGCAAACAGTCTGGCTGATTCTGTGATGTGTGTAAAGGTTGGAAGGAACAAGGGAGGAAGAAGATATATTATTTCACAGAAAAAATTTTAAGTCAAAAAAAGATAAAGTGTTTAAATGGATAAGTTAATGTTCTACTTTGTTGACACAACATACAGAAAATACTTAAATGACAGGTCTTTTTTTTTTAAGCAAACAGCAGCTTTACAAACAGTAATACTTCTTTATATATATATATTAAAGTAACAATGTGTTAGGATTGAACAGTTTTGTGCTAAAGAGTTGAAAAGTGAATGTGGAGCTCACTACTCATTTGCACACTGTAATCCCCAACCCACCCACCTCCCCCAGCTTATTAAGAAATCAGACAATTACATTATTTGGATATTAATTTCTCAATATTTGAACTATGTGAATTCCTTTTGACTAATTCTTTTCCAAATACTGGAAGCATATAAAATACCATCTCTGCAAAAATGACGTCCAGTCAGAGCCTTTAAAAACTTTTCAATGTATAACACATTTTTTCCCACGTTTAGTCAAAAGAAATATATTACAACATTTACAAACATATTTAAACCAAAAGTTAAGCTAATATGAACATTATCTTTTGAGAAGTAATCTTCACAGCAAACAAACCTACTGAAGCAGAAATCTAGTTTTGGGAGTGCAATTCATATTGTAATTATTTATGCATTGAAATAGAAATCTAATATTAATTATTGCCACTAAAACCACCTCTACACATGAAGAAGAAAATCACTATGGTTTTTATTTCTTGTGATGATGAACCTTTATTCTTAGCATTAGATCTCTCTAGATCTCCAAAGAGCTACTCACCCCAGATCCAAAAAACACTTTCGTAATTTTCACACCTATGCCTGCATATAATATACACAAATTCCAGAATTTATCAAAAGGAAACGAATTATAAAGACATTATCAATACTTATTTAAGCATACGTTCTACACAGTAGCATTTCCTTTAATAAATTTTGGGTTGTCCTCTAGAGGTGACCTGTCTCATATAAAAAAGGCCATGGTCCCTTGGGTTTGCTGGCAGAAGATACTGCATGTGCAAGAGCGTTTATCAAACACATAACTGAACATTTCTGAAGTCTATAGCAAAATTCAAAGTTACTGGTGTTCTGAAGATTTCTTCAACTTCCCTTTTGATACAAATGTCAAAAAATCTAAAATGACAATTCTCATTCAGTAGAGATATAAAATATAAGAAACCTTTGAAAAGCCACTCATTACCTTAAGATCAAGAGTTATCTGAATCACTGACACCAAGCAAAGGAAATTTACACCATTAAAAAGTATACAAAATTTTTCAATATACTTTTAAGATTGTCAGTAGTTCAAAACCTCTATCATTTCTTTAAACCAACTAACACTTCCAAATGTACAGAGACAGTAGGATCTGCCACATATAAATCCGTGATTACTATTTCAGAGGCTTCATTCCTTACATGCTACATACCTTTAAGTACTGGATACTTTGTGCCTAAGAAGTCTATACTGAAGAACAGTTTAGACAGGACAGTACAATAACGTCCCCTTTTAGCACGCTAATAAAGTTGATAGACTTGACATTTCCTACACAGCAATGCTCCAAAACTTTCACAATTCACAAATAACTAAGTCATCAACCAAGAATCTGGTCTCTCCAGTAATTAATGTTGGGATTATCAATAAATACATCAATACTAGAACAGTAGTCCCAATGCATTCAGTAAAGAATCTGACCAATTCTTCCCTCTCACCTCTGTGAGGCAAAGCTCTGCCCCATAAAACCTGGGCAGGGAAAATATCCCTCCCTCTTCAGTTCTGTGCCTGCTTATCGGAGTTGGAAGTGTAAAGCTGGCATGCATGTGTGTGTGTGTGTGTGTACACGCAGACACGTGTGTTGGTTAACTGGAGGTGGTGGGTGGTTGGAGGGAAGACAGAAAAATAGGTAATTTGTAATTCTCCCACCATTATAAACTTGCAGAGGTCACTATCAGGTGGTGACTGACTAGCAAAACATTTAGCTCAGTAACTTTAACTTCACCCAAGGAGGTATAAACATTCCAGGAGAAGGGTAGAGATAAATAACAGTGATCAAGAATCAATACCTGTGCCTATCTCCACACTCTAAAATCATCTAATAGTTTCAGCACAATTAGAACTTTCTCTTTTCTTCAAAACTTCCTCTTCCAAACCTTGATTATCAGGATACATGTTACAATTGCATAAAGTTCCTTTCCCTGACTCCCGTCAGTAACTGTGGTTAGTGTTACCTGGCAGGTGCTCAAGGTTAGGGACAAAATATTTTTCTTAAAAGGTGCAACGGTTTTCCACTCAGGACAAAGTATGAATACCCAATCAGATCCATATTTTAAGTCCAGAGAATCCCAAATCAGAAGTATGCAAGAGAACACACCAGTATAAGACTCTGCTTCTGGATAGTTTACAATTAAGTGCTGCAGTCATACAACCGGTTACAATTATTCATCTGTCAAAATTTGCCTAATTTTATGCAAATACGACTATGTACAAGAGCATTCCTGAGGTAAGTAAGAAGCAAATGTGAAACAGAACCCAGAATGTCTTATCATGGGTGACTTCTCACTATTAAAGACAAACATACCTAACTTTCCACAAATAAGGCCAGCTCTAATCTACCATGGTGGCTCCTTTGCTAGCCTAAGTATTGGAGGCTCTGTCTTAGCCCGTCCCAACTTTAATCAATTACCATGATCAGTGACTTCTGAAATAAGCATTTGTGGACTAAATAAAAGGTGCATCCATTTTTAATACAAAACACTTTGCAGACTTAGTTACCCTCAGCCATTTTTTTAGTTTTCTAACTCTACCTCCAGTTCTTTTCTAAAGAAGCCCAAACAACTTTTTGGTCAGACAAATTAGAGTATAGGATGTATAGTCTTGAAGCAAACACTGGTAACTGCTCCTTTCCTTAGAACCTTAACCTTTAACTTTCAAAATGACTAAATAGGCATTTTAAATTTACTTTCTTTAAAATCTGGTCTTCTTTTTTAATCGTTATTTTCCGTAACAAAATAAGCTGAAACAATTCTGAATTTTCCGTACAGTTCTTAGAAAGACACTTAGATGCTAATTAAAAGCTAAGCTATGGATCATAACAAAACAAGTGAAAGACAGCTACAAAAATAACTGTCAGGAATTAAGTACATATATTAAATACTGGACAGTGCAAAATGTTGAGATGAAGCATGAAAGATAATGGCTGCAACCCTTACATAGTTGGAGATAGATATAGCTGACATTTCCTGAGTTATAGATTTGGGGGCGTATAATTAGAATCAGAGTGCTCCTTGCTCAGCGAGCTGCAGTTGCTGGGCTTCTGCTGTTCCTGACTTGCCTGATGGTCAGTAGTCCAGGCCTCGCTATCCATCCCTGGCTCTAGCACCTCAACAGCCTCTGCTTCCTCTTCCCCACTTTGCTCTGCATTGTCTTCCTCAGAACCATTAAGGGTTTTTCCAAGCTGAAGAGTTTCCATCGTTCTCTGAGTCTCAGAGACCCAAGACTCAATTCTACTATTGAGCTGCACTTCTACAGATATGGGTTCATGAGTATAATCTTCCTCCTCCTCCTCGTCTTCATCATCCTCTTCTTCCAGCATGCCAGGTACAAGAGTGCTGGTGGTGCTGGTGATGGAGGAATTCAAAAGATCCCGGCCACTGCCATCCAAAGAGCCGGTCTCTGTACTCTGCTGTGAGGCCCATTCCAGGTCATCTGGCTTCACGTCCTCTTTATCACTCACTGTTGGTTTTCCAGGGTTTGTAGCTGAGGTAGTAATGCCTGCAGCCACTGATGATGGCTGCTTACCAACAGGGGCTGTGTCAAATGCAAGTTTACTGGGCTTTTCAGATGTGCTGTGCTTACAAGAAACTTCTCTCTCATTTTCTGATGTTTCCAATGCATCCGAAGTTTCCACCATGTTTCTCCAATTTGTTTCTGCAAATATCAAACAGATTTTTTAAAAACCAGAACACTGTTTCAGAATCATGCAACTCTTACAAGAGAGAAGAACAAACTACAGAAATCTGTTGGCTCACCAACTGACTGGAATGTTATAAATGGAAAACAGTTCTCAAAAAAACCCAGCACATTTAACATAAAGAAACAAAGAGGCCAAAATAAGTACATTAATGCTTCAGAATGTAAAAGATCTAATACTAACAGGAGCTCACTGACTCTAATATATAAAACCCATGTATTCATAAAAATCAATGAATTGCCTAAGTTTTTTTGGCCCTGAAGTGTCCTGGGCTCAAGGATCCACAAGTCACAGATGGCAGAGCCAAGATGTCCATCAGAAAAAAAAAGAGAAAGAAATAGTTCTGATTTAACAGGCTTATATTGTGCTCCTTTAGCAAGTCAGAGCTGTCTTTTGGCCTGTAATGGAACTTGTGTTTCCATTTATAAGCAAAGATGCCATGCATGTACTTCTAATATTTGTGAAAATGTGTTTTATAACATATGTATGTTGCCTGGCTTACTAAGTGACTTTGAAGCCAAAAAATAATGAAGTGTTATTATATAATACAGTGGTGATAATCTAAATTATTTTTAACAACAGGTAGTCAGTTTAGAGCAAAAAATGTACTAGGAATCAGGAGATGAAGAACAACTCTCCCACCTGTTTTTTGTACGTTTTATTTTATTTTCCATTTAATTTTTTTATCACTGTGGTCTAATTGACATAAAACATTATATTATTATAGTTTCAGGTGTACAACATAATGATTCAGTATTTGCATATACTGAGAAATGATCACTACAAGAAGTCTAGTTAACATCCATCCCCACTAATAATTACAATTTTTTTTTTAAGATCTACCCTCTTAGCAACTTTCAAATACACAATACAATAATATTAATTGTAGTCACCATGCTGTACATTAGGTCTCCAAGCCATATTTATTTTATAACTGGAAGGTGGTCACTTTTTACCCCCTTCACCCATTTTGCCCACCCCCAGCCTCCCCTGCCTCTGGCAACCACCAATCTGTTCTCTGTATCTATGAGCTTCGGGGATTTTCTTGGGGTTTTTTTTGTTTATTTTTTGTTTTGTTTTTAAGATTCCTCATATAAATGAGATGATACGGTGTTTTTCTTTGTCTGACTTATTTCACTTAGCATAATGCCCTCGAGGATCATCATTATCACAAATGGCAAGATTTCATTCTTTTTAATAGCTGAATAATATTCCACAGTGTGTGTGTGTGTGTGTGTGTGTGTGTGTGTGTGTACACACACACACACACACACCACATCTTCTTTATCCACTGATCTTCTTTACCGATTTATCCATCAATGGACATTAAGTTGTTTCCGTATCTTGGTTATTGTAAATAATGCTGCAATAAACATGGGGGGTGAATACCTCTTTTTTGAGCTAGTGTTTTTATTTTCTTCAGATAAATACACAGAAGTGGAATTGCTCGATCATATGGTAGTTCTCATCTTAATATTTTGAGGAACCTCCATATTGTTTTCCTTAGTGGCTGCACCAACTTACATTCCCATGAGCAGTGCACAAGGATTCCCTTTGCTCCACATCCTTGCAAACATCTGTTATTTTTTGTCTCTTTGATAACAGCCAACTAACAGGTTGTGAGCTGATATTTCATTGTGGATTTGATTGGCATTTCTCTGATGACTGGTGATGTTGAGCATCTTTTCATGTACCTGTTGGTCATCTGTGTGTCTTTCTTTGGAAAAATGTCTATTCAGATCCTCTGCCCCATTTTAAATCGGATTTTTTTCTTTTTGCTGTTGAGTTGTATGAGTTATTTATATATTTTGGTTATTAATCCCTCATCAGATACATGATTTGCAAATATATTTTCTCCCATTCAGTAGGTTGCCTTTTCATTTTGTTGATGGTTTCCTTTGCTGTACAGAAGCTGTCTGATTTGGTGTAGTCCCACTTATTTTTGCCTTTTCTTAAAAAATAAAAATCCCCTTCTATTTGCATTGTAGCTGCTATTTGCATTTTACAGGCATAATGATCAAGCTGTAGTGATAAAGCAAGCCTATTCATACAAATATACTTAACTTGATTGCCCCCTATCAATTATATATTGCAACAGACCATATTTTGGCCACCTGAAGTCAAGGCGCATGGTTTGGGGGAAAAACCTTCCTTTCCTGCAGCTACTTCAAATGTAGAACAGGTCTTTCCACTTGCACTCCTACCTCATGACAAAAAAATCTAGTCCTCCTCCTTTATTCTTTCTCAGTTAATAACATCCTTTTCAGTCTCAAAGCATAAGAAACCTTATAGTAATCCTTGATCCTATCTTTCTCCCTTACTATATGTATCCCTTCATTCCACTGAACTCATAACTATACCATGTCACTTCTAGCCCCCAAACTACTAAATTTGGTCACTACTGCCTTAGCTCAAGCCTCCTTTATCTTGCTGTACATCTACTATATCTTTCTAATTCGTTTTGTGAATTGACCACATCACTGTCTAACTGGTTTTTTATTACCCTAGTAATCCAAACTCCTTAGTTTAGTAACCAAGCCCTTCATAATCTATCCTTCTGGTCCCATTCATTTTAACCCCCAGCCATGCATTCCATGCTCAAGGTCACTTTGAATTCTCACTGCTCACAGAAGTCATACCCTTTCTGTTTACAATTCTTTGCTTTGCATAAGCTGTTCTTTCTGTATGAGATGTGTTTTCCTCATTTACCCTTCACACTCCTACTCATTCTTGACAACTTTTAATGCCAGTTCCTTTGTGAAGCCTTTCCTGATTTTCCTAAGACCGTCACTAACCTGAACTCCCACAGCACTTTCTGCATATTTGGTTCAAAAGCATTTGTTTTTTGTTTTCTGTTCTACTCCCTCCTCCCTCCTCATTCCCACTCATCTCTGTGTTCCTGTGGCTGGCATACAGTATGTGCTGGGAAAATAAGCCTTTACAGTAAATGAAAATGTTCACCCATATATGTAATTATGCAGAAAATAACTTTCAAAAGCCATACAATTTACAAAATTTAGGTATACATATTTCCTTCCGACAGTTTTTTTCCTCTTTCAAAAGTACTATAAGAATTCATGTGGGGTCTTAGAAAAAGTCCCACCTCTCCCTTGACAGTGAGTTAAAGGAACAGGAAAAAGAAAGGTGGTCAGAAGACTGAGCAGGGCTGATCTCTCTTCAGGTTCTGTCTTGGGCATTCAGCTACTAGGTAGGTGAGCTGAAAGCCAGACAGGTCCTTTGGAAAGGAAAGGGAGATATGACCTTGGAAGCAGACAAGGGACTCTGTGATTAGCCATCAAGAGACCTGTCACAATGATCAAAGAGCCACTGAGGTCACATATCCACGGGGAGGGTCCAGGGTTCCACCTTAAAGTAACAGGTGAAGCTTGATCAACAACTAATGAGCACACAAACACATAACTGTGATGGGGAGAAACAAAACGAGTATGAAAATGCCGTCTTTGGTTGGAGGAGCGGGCAGCGGATGGGAGGGGCTTGGGCTGAATACAGGAGTCTAAAGCCAGAATAGCACATCGAGAAGCCCACTTCTGAAGAAGGAATTAGGAAGCAATGTAAAGGCAGGGTCAAAGATCTCAACAAACCTGGAAATGTTACTGATCCAAACCTACCCTGATTCTGAATTGTTTACTTTAGCAGAATTTAGTCAATAAAGCTGCTTACTAACCCCTCTATGCGTTCCTTTTTGTTAGTTGGTTCTTTGTGAAACTACCTTTTCAACTTTGACATGAGTTGGTATGTCAGAGGATAAGGTATGTGTATTTCTCCCATCAGTCAGTACACAGAGGGAAGCGGTCCATCTTTAGATAGTTGTATATAGTAGAGGAACACAGAGATGAGTTCAAGATCCTACAGAAGAAGGTGTGGTGGCAGAGAACGAGCCGGAAACTCAAGATAGATAAGAGGTAGTCCTCCCCTCACAAGGGGTTACTGAAAACCTACTGTATGGTCCTACTGGAAATTCATTCAACACACAAGGAATTCACATCACACTGGCTAAGAATTCTAGAGTCAAACTTAGCAGCTCTGTGACACTGGCAAGTTATTTACCTCACTTCATTTTAGTTCTCTCATCTGTAAAATGCAGTACAATATTTCTTATCTCCTAGGACTGCTCAGAGGATTAAATGTCTTAATAAAAGTGCCTAGGAAGTGCCTAGTAAGAATTCAGTAAGTGAGCTATTATTATTATATGTCAAGTGCCCGTTAGGTGTCAGGTTTCTATCTCAAAGAACGTACTGCTTAGTTGGGATTTACGTTTGAAACTATTTATTTCACGTAAGTATGACAAAATTGAGACTCAGCTCCGGTGGAAGGAAAACATAAGCAAAGAAAACAATTATGGTGTACACAAAGAACAGTAAGACTGAACAATCTCATAGGAACCTTTCTATTCCACCAATGTTTAGCATCCCTTTCCCAGCTTTGTTTTCTCTTTAGACTGTGGAAATCACAAGAAAACATTTTAGAAATCTTGCACCAGAATGGCATGGGAGACACTATTTGTTGTCTACCCAAGAGTCATTCCCCATTTTCTTCCTGGCTAACAGAACCCCCAAACCTGAGATGGACTTGAACACAGTCCCATGGGAGGAATTAAAATAGTTCTTAGACTATCATGACTATCCCATTCCCCTTTGCCAGATATTCTCTTGCCCACATCTCCCTTGCAGCTAAAAGCAGTCACATGGTCGGCTCTGGCCAAATGAAACAAAAGGCAAAGTCTTCTGAAAATTGTTTCCTTCACTGATAAAAAGAGCATACTGCTTGAACCTGCTGCCTGAACTGCTGTGATGCCCAGGGCCACTGCAGCCACTTACGAACATGAGATGATAAGCAGAAGAATAAGAAGCCACAGACTGAAAATGGAAGAATAGAAAAAAGGAAAGAACTAGGGACACTGACAACATTGTGAAATAATTAAATATCCTAATTTCTCAGGCCACATTAGTGGGTTGTTTTTTGTTTGTTTGTTTCTGCGGTACGTGGGCCTCTCACTGTTGTGGCCGTTCCCGTTGCGGGGCACAGGCTCCGGACACGCAGGCTCAGCAGCCATGGCTCACGGGCCCAGCCGCTCCATGGCATGTGGGACCTTCCCGGACCGGGGCACGAACCCACATCCCCTGCATCGGCAGGCGGACTCTCAACCACTGCGCCACCAGGGAAGCCCCATTAGTGGGTTTTATGTCTGTTGCTGAACACATCTGATACTGACAGAGTAACTTTGTGCTTTACTCTCAAAGCAAATTATTTCTGATTATTTCCACTTATTTTGTTGGCATCCTCATAAATCAGATCATAGGGCAGAATCTTTAAGGTTCTGTATAAATCCCTTCTTAGAATTCAGCCATTAGCTCACAAAACTTTCGCTCTGAATGAAACCTTATACATGATCTAGACAAACCCTCCTCACTTTACTGAAGACAAATCTGAGGCTCAGAAATTAATCAATTATGCCTAAATACCCTAGGCAGACTGTGGAAAAGCCAAGGCTTCAATCTTTGAACACTTTAAATCTGGTGTTTTGAAAACATCTTCTAAGTCTTTGAGAGGTTCTTTTTATAACTTTTCTTTTTATGTACCCAAATGAAGATCACAGTCATTTCCCCAAACCCACAGCTTTAGGAATTTATCTTGCAGTTTACCTTTGAGATCTGGCATATCACTAATCACTATATAGAAAAATGATTTCATTTACAAAGTTGGCCCTTTATCTTCTTTACTTTCAACTAGTATCACTTTAACCAAAGAAACATCTCTGCCTCTAAGCCAGAATCACCTTTCCCTGACCAACAGTTTCTGAAAGGTGCACAATAACTTGTTAGTTGCCTCTGGTCTGCAGCTTTGTCAAAAGCATTCCAAACATTTAACTATAATCACAGACAAGGAGAGCAGGAAAGAGAAGTGTGAGAAGAAAGGAAGAAAACGATGACTCAGTTTTTTACATGTTACATTTTAGGTGGCAATAAGCTATTTGATAAACTTTCAGATAAGACTAAAAAGAGAAAAGAAAAACAAGAAGCCAAGGTGAAGGAGGTGGCTGCACTATTTTTAAAAAAGAACAGGGGAAATGAAACAAACTAGATCAAGAAAGTGATCTAGTATTCTAGTACTAGTGCTCAAAGTATTATAGAAACATTGCAAGGAAACTACTAAAATGCAGAGTACAGTAACTATTGTTACTTTAAACCTTATACATAAATACTGTTTTTAGTCTATAAGTCTTTTTCACTACCATCAGATTTAACTCAAGACAAATGTCACAAGTCTACGTTTGGTAAGTTCAGATTGAATATTCAGGTCTTTTGTTTACACAGTAAATACAAAATTTTAATAATCAAGTATAAACTATTAGAATAAAACTTCCTAGAATTTATTTATTTACTTAGTGATAGGTCAGAAGAATGGTACATTTGGCTTTTTAAATCCCTTTGGGATTTTTTTTTAAGATTTTGGAAATGTGACTAATTTCAGGGTCTCACAGAAATTCTCAGCCCCAAATATTCTCCTAACTTTCAATGGACATGTGTAATACAATTGTTAAACCAAAAATGTGAGCAAAATTTGAATAATCAAGAAGATAAAAACAAAAGGTAGCATGGAAAGTCATTTTTAAAATGACATTAATCATTAAATTATTTCAAAATTTCAGTCATTTAAAATGGTATGTAATAACTTACCATATTCCTTTTCATTTACTTCAGAGATGGGTTCAGAAATAACACTGCAGAAAGAAATGGCGCTTGCTGCAGAGGGATTCCGAGAATGCCCCATGTGGTGTGGCACCTTTTTCACGTTCTTCAAGGCTTCCTCAGCTTGCTCCTGTTCCATTGCTGCAACCATATCTTTATATGCTTTCCTGGCTTCTTCAGTGAGTTCTACTAACTTATTAAACAGGCTCTAAAAAGAAAGAGATTTTGCCCAGTCCATTTTTTGTTATACTCTTTATTACTACCATTAGCAGTAAATACCTCTACTGTTTCAGGATTGGATACACTTTCTCTGAGCACAAAATCCAAATGGTATGCAAACCACAGAACCTTACAAAATACTCTGTAACTTACATATATTGTTTAGTTAATTCTCACAAGTCTGAGGGAACTTCTTGATTCAGTACTAGCCACTAAATATGCTATATTAAAATTCTTACAGAGTTTATCAATTCAACAACTGCACCCTTTAGCATGTGGCACTATAGTGGGTACCAAGACTACTGGAACCACCCCTCTGCTCTCAAGGAACCTTCCATATGGCTGAAAGGAGAGGACAGGAGACGATGATTCAGGGGACAATGCCTTAAATGCCTTGAGATGTACAAAGTGGTTTAGCTTTGGGAGGAAACATCTAACTGCTGGGCATCAGTGAAGAATTCATAAAGGAATATGACACCTGATGTAGGCCTTGAAAATCTGGTATACTTTTGAGGAGTGGAGACAGTACATTCTTAGCCAAGCATGCAAAACCATAAACCAAGGTACAGACTTAATAAAGTTCAAGGCTTGTTTGGGAAGCAGTGAAGAATCTTATATGGGCTCAAATATAAGGGAATGAGTGTATGCAGGGTGATATCAAAGGATGCAGAAGCAGATGGCAGTCTCCACAGGAATGAAAAGTTCCCTATCATGTTTGCTTGTTGAAAGAACTCTTTACAAGAAGACCAGAAAGAAGTGATGGTATGGCTAGCTGCGGTCTTGAAAATGATGAAAGGCTAATTATAAAAATAGAATAAAGAACCTGGAAATAGAATGTGGAGTTAACCTGAAGTTCTTCCATCAGCAAAACAGAATGAACATGAATGGAATTAATAACCCCAATGAAACTGTAAATGACAGAGCACATTTGTGTTAATAAATGGCAAAATTCGTTAGGCATTAAAGCTGTACTTCAATAACTATGACGTCTAATGATGTCTAAAGAAAACTGAAGTTTTCACAATCACCAGAAAGACAACCAAAGAATGACTTTTAGTGATTCTTACATCAAGTGACTTTTAGTGATTCTTACATCACAATTCAACACAATTCAACAACATTCTACTCCTATTTAATGTCTTGATTTAGTATCAGAATGCAACATACCCACACATTAAGTAAAAAGTTTCAGATGGTAAATATGACCTGGCCACCTGGAAGAGTATGTTTAATTACATATATAAAATTATGTTTTCAGACAATGGAGAAAAAGTACAGCACAATTTTTTTTTTCTTAACAAGGCACTGTCATTTAAATATAAACCATAACATCATGAATGTGTGGCAAACGTGTCATATTACTATGGAATAATGTATCTCTAAAAACTAAACTTAAGCAGGAAAAGCATAAGTAATGTGCTTTACCCAGCTGCAGTTTAAACTGTTTAAAGTACAATACAGGTACAATAACCACTGCTGCTAACTGTACTGATTTTTGAAAAGGGGTGGGTGCCACTAGTATCAAAAATATATTCAGGTTTTACTTATTTTTAAAAAGGAGGATGGATTCTGATTTAAAAAGCCCCCATGAGTTACATGTAAGAGACTTCATAAATATGTTTGCAATAAACCATGCACTTAAGTGAAGCCAACAAAAAGAAAATAGGCTTATGGATATGCAATTTTGAGATTAACATTGGTTTTACAATATAAATAAAACACAGAAACTGTTGGGAATGAAACAATACACAAGAAGAAGAGAAAATAAAATTGAAGAGAAAAGCTATTAGGGAATAAAAGCTTTGAATATCAGGGTAAGGACAGAAAGCTTAATTCAAAGGTTAGCATTATTACATGGTAAATATAGGGTAGGTGCACTACATTACTATGAGTAGACACACTGGACAGTACAGCAGTACTTCCTTTACCTCCGTTTTATGAATGTGTTTTGGTTTAAACAATAACTCAGTACCTCAAAATGGAGAAGGCAAGAAAAGCAATGTACAAACAAAACTGCCAAACATTTTATAATATAATATCATACATATAACCTAATATACATAGTTCAGTAAGAAGTCAATACAATTAAAAACAAACATATCCCCTTTTCCTGACCCTGATCCCATTCCTATTCCATAAACTCTAATAGTGAACAAAAGAGTACATTGTTATTATGAGTCTTTATCACAGAGCTACTTACCACCTAAATTCTCATATGAAGTTTAACGTAACAGGCAGATATACATCTACCATACAATTAATTAAAGAAACATTTATTACCTGCTCATCCTCGAGTAATGTAAAAGGTTTTCAGGGATATAAAGACAAGGGAAATCAAAGAGGAAATCAAAAGATACCTAGAAACAAATGACAATGAAAACACGACAACCCAAAACCTATGGGATGCAGCAAAAGCAGTTCTAAGAGGGAAGTTTATAGAAATACAATTCTACCTCAAGAAACAAGAAATATTTCAAATAAACAACCTAAACTTACATCTAAAGCAATTAGAGAAAGAAGAACAAGAAAACCCCCAAAGATAGCAAAAGGAAAGAAATCATAAAGATCAGATCAGAAATAAATGAAAAAAAAAGAAAGAAACAACAGCAAAGATCAATAAAACTAAAAGCTGGTTCTTTGAGAAGATAAACAAAATTGATAAACCATTAGCCAGACTTATCAAGAAAAAAAAGGGATAAGACTCAAATCAATGGAAATAGAACTGAAAAGAGAAGTAACAACTGACACTGCAGAAATACAAAGGATCTTGAGAGATTACTACAAGCAACTCTATGCCAATAAAATGGACAATCTGGAAGAAATGGACAAATTCTTAGAAAAGCACAACCTTCTGAGACTGACCAGGAAGAAACAGAAAATATAAACAAACAAATCACAAGCACTGAAATTGAAACTGTGATTAAAAAATCTTCCAACAAACAAAAGGCCAGGACCAGATGGCTTCACAGGCGAATTCTATCAAACATTTATAGAAAAGCGAACACCTATCCTTTACAAACTCTTCCAAAGTATAGCAGAGGGAGGAACACTCCCTAACTCATTCTACAAGGTCACCATCACCCTGATACCAAAACAGACAAAGATGTCACAAAGAAAGAAAACTACAGGCCAGTATCACTGATGAACACAGATGCAAAAATCCTCAACAAAATACTAGCAAACAGAATCCAACAGCACATTAAAAGGATCATACACCACGATCATGTGGGGTTTATCCCGGGAATGCAAGGATTCTTCAATATATGCAAATCAATCAATGTGATAAACGATATTAACAAATTGAAGGAGAAAAACCATATGATCACCTCAATAGATGCAGAAAAAGCTTTCAACAAAATTCAACACCCATTTATGATAACCCTCTGGATAGTAGGCATAGAGGGAACTTACCTCAACATAATAAAGGCCATATATGACAAACCCACAGCCAACATCGCTCTCAATGGTGAAAAGCTGAAACTGTTTCCTCTAAGATCAGGAACAAGACAAGGTTGTCCACTCTCACCACTATTATTCAACATAGTTTTGGTAGTTTTAGCCCCAGCAATCAGAGAAGAAAAAGTAATAAAAGGAAGCCAAATAGAAAAAGAAGAAGTAAAGCTGTCACTGTTTGCAGATGACATGATCCTATACATAGAAATCCAAAAGATGCTACCAGAAAACTACTAGAGCTAATCAATGAATTTGGTAAAGTAGCAGGATACAAAATTAATGCACAGAAATCTCTTGCATTCCTATACACTAATGATGAAAAATCTGAGAGAGAAATTAAGGAAACACTCCCATTTACCACTGCAACAAAAAGAATAAAACACCTAGGAATAAACCTACCTAAGCAGACAAAAGACCTGTATGCAGAAAACTATAGAGACACTGATGAAAGATATTAAAGATGACACAAACAGATGGAGAGATATACCATGTTCTTGGATTGGAAGAATCAACATTCTGAAAATGACTCTACTACCCAAAGCAATCTATAGATTCAATGCAATCCCTATCAAACTTCCAATGACATTTTTCAAAGAACCAGAACATAAAATTTCACAATTTGCATGGAAACACAAAAGACCCCAAAGAGCCAAAGCAATCTTGAGAAAGAAAAACGGAGCTGGAGGAATCAGGCTCCCTGACTCCAGACTATACTACAAAGCTACAGTAATCAAGACAGTATGGTACTGGCACAAAAACAGAAAGATAGATCAATGGAACAGGATAGAAAGCCCAGACATAAACCCACGCACATATGGTCACCTTATCTTTGATAAAGGAGGCAAGAATATACAATGGAGAAAAGACAGCCTCTTCAATAAGTGGTGCTGGGAAAACTGGACAGCTAGCTACACGTAAAAGAAAGAAATTAGAACACTCCCTAACACCATACACAAAAATAAACTCAAAATAGATTAAAGAGCTAAATATAAGGCCAGACACTATAAAACTCTCAGAGGAAAACATAGGCAGAACACTCTATGACATACATCACAGCAAGATCCTTTTTGACCCACCTCCTAGAGAAATGGAAATAAAAACAAACAAGTGGGACCTAATGAAACTTAAAAGCTTTTCCACAGCAAAGGAAACCGTATAAACAAGAAGAAAAGACAACCCTCAGAATGGGAGAAAATATCTGCAAATGAAGCAACTGAAAAGGATTAATCTCCAAAATTTACAAGCAGCTCATGCAGCTCAATATCAAAAAAACAAACAACCCAATCCAAAAATGGGCAGAAGACCTAAATAGACATTTCTCCAAAGAGGATATACAGATTGCCAACAAATAAATAAAAGGATGCTCAACATCACTAATCATTAGAGAAATGCAAATCAAAACTACAATGAGGTATCACCTCACACCAGTCAGAATGGCCATCATCAAAAAATCTACGAACAATAAATGCTGGAGAGGGTGTGGAGAAAAGGGAACCCTCTTGCACTGTTGGTGGGAATGTAAATTGACAGAGCAACTATGGAGACAGTATGGAGGGTCCTTAAAAAAACTAAAAATAGAATTACCATATGATCCAGCAATCCCACTACTGGGCATATACCCTGAGAAAACCATAATTCAAAAAGACTCATGTACCACAATGTTCACTGCAGCTCTATTTACAATAGCCAGGACATGGAAGCAACCTAAGTGTCCATTGATAGATGAACGGATAAAGATGATGTGGTAGATATATACAATGGAATATTACTCAGCCATAAAAAGAAACGAAATTGAGTTATTTGTAGTGAGGTGGATAGACCTAGAGTCTGTCATACAGAGTGAAGTCAGAAAGAGAAATATAAATACAGTATGTGAACACATATATATGGAATCTAAAAAACAAAAAATATTTATGAAGAACCTAGGGGCAGGACAGGAATAAAGATGCAGATGCAGAGAACAGACTTGAGGACACAGGGAGGGTGAAGGGTAAGCTGGGACGAAGTGAGAGAGTCGCATGGACTTATATATACTACCAAATGTAAAATAGATAGCTAGTGGGAAGCAGCCGCATAGCACAGGGAGATCAGCTCAGTGCTTTGTGACCACCTAGAGGGGTGGCATAGGGAGGGTGGGAGGGAGACGCAAGGGGGAGGAGATAAAAACTGATTCCCTTTGTTATAAAACAGAAACTAACACACCACTGTAAATTAATTATACTCCAATAAAGATGTCAAAAAAAAAAAAAAAGACAAGGGTCTTACCCTTGAGGAATTCACACTTACATGAAGAAACACATTAACTATGACAAAGCAGTGTGATATCTATAACTGAGGAAAGCATGGGCTGCTAATGGCAGGACAAATATTAATTACATGATCGTAAAGAGTAGGTGGGTAGACAGATAATTTAATGGGTAGTGGGAGAGAAACTGAATGGATAGGGGAATGGGGGTATTCAATATGGTGACTGGATAGGAAAGACAGACACTTAAATATACACAGACAGTATGGCTGAGAAGAGGGAAAATGGTCCATCAGTTGTGTCACAAAATACTTTAGAATCAACTTCATAAAAAACAGTTATTGTATGCACAGATTGTATACAATTTAAAACAAGTACAACTGAAAATGTTTCAATGTAAAAACCACAAGTCAAATAATGTTCTAAAAAGAACCCCACACGTTCAAAAAACCCCACCAATCTTAAAATGTTATCAGTTAATAAGCATTACTCTAAATAAATAACATTTACTTCATCATTTATCAACTCCTATGGGCAAAGTTTGTATTAGTCGACTATGAGAGGAAGACAAATATCATGGGTGTAGAATTATTCTCTCAATTGGTTTGGAATTTCATTTTCAAAGGAAAATCCTCTCCAAATAAAGGATTCTTTTCTCTCTTGACTCCTAGCAGCACAAAATATACCCAACATACAAAGTGAAGAAATTTGTTTTATTTTGTACAATATTGGATACCTTTACGCAGCAGTTACATATATTGTCAAGTAGTACATATCTGAACCCAGAAAAGAAATCACTGTAGCAGAAATACGAGCTAAAATCTTTTCACAATGCTATAGGATTGACTTACGCAAATGTTTTCAACACTAAAAAAGGAAATGTAATACTCAAGAATTTTCCACTCGTTCCTGGAGAGTCATCATATCACTTATCCAAATGCTCAAACATAACAATGGCACGTGTCCAAAGATGTACTATGGGGGGTGGGCAGTGAGGGACTGCATCTTCCAAGTCTTACCTCAGCACCAAAGTAGTTGAAGATTCCCACCACACTAACAGGAACCAGCTTGTTCACACAGCGTCCTAGAGCTTTTCTTCCAAGGGCAAACACAAAAGGAATTTCTTGTTCCCGTGCCATGGCTATAACATTATAGAGAGCCTCATCCAGGCCACCTGAGAAATCAACATGTATAGAAGTTTTTAGTTATTTCCTAAATGGAGCTATTTTAGCACCCGACAGCATGAAACACAGCAGCAAAGGAGTCCATGAATGCTTGTGGCACTTAGGCTGTTCACCACATTTTCCTATCTGAATTTGTACTATATTTGGATATTACATACATATTTTCTTTCTCCCAGTTAAATACTACATTCCTTTAATGCGAGTATTTTTGTTTCTCCACAGGGACTAGTACAGCAGGAGTCAAATTTCAATATAATAAACATTTTTCGGTTTTTTAAATTAATTAAAATTGTTAATAGTGGCTGATTCCTTTATCTAATCTCTCAGCTCAAGTAAGCAACCTATCGCATGCAATAAGACCGATTATATATTACTGCTTTTACTGGTATTTTTCCCCTCTGCCTGCTACTGCTACTTGATGCCTCTGTCTACTCCAATCACCTGAAATGGCTCCTCCATGAAAAACGACAAATAACGGTGCACAACATAGTACAAAAGCCTCTGTTACTGCTGGTTTCTGAGAGACAAATCTCCACCATAAACAGAGGCAGAGACCTGTATCTTTTTTTTTTAATATTGCATTTAACTGATTTTAAGATGCAAAATTTTTTCCACATACTAACAACTCTGAACTAGGGTAGCATTTTACAATCAATGGAATCTTTGGATTGATAGAATTTTTCTTTCTTAGTGGAATATAAAATGCTGCTGCATCATACAATCATCATGTTCTATTCTAAACAGTAATTTTAGGATATAAAAATTACAAATTATATTTTTTTTTCTGAAATAGGGTAGGATAACTGTCTAGAGAGCCCATTTTCATTTCTGACATTAGTCACTGCTGTCATATTGTTTCTACAATCATGTTGGCCTATATTAAATAAGAGACAGGAGAGTTTGATTTCCCAATTGGAAAAACTCAATGAACTATGGTAAAAATGCATATATCATAACCATTATGTAAGAATTGATCTGGAATTTGGGATTCATAGGAGATGTTTAGGTATTGTTATTAATTACTACATAGTTTGAGAGAGTCTTTCAACTTCTCTCTTTCATACAATGGACGTAATTATTTTTGTCTCTCTGGCAAGATCAGAATGCCCCAATAGTAAAAGGAAAAATATTTGAAAGTGTTTCTTTGAGGAGCATTAATTATGTTGTTTAATATATTTAAAATATACCCCTCTAATGACCAATTCAGTACCCAAGCGTTCAGGACAGGAAATTGATTTTGAAATTGTTTTAAATATAGTGGCAAATAAATAGTTATAAGTGGACAATGGAAAGCAGACCTTCAAAATTAGATTGTGAATATTTCTTCCTAAAATACATTTTTTAATAAAATTTTGATTGATGTCATAAAGTCACATAGCCCAAATGTTTTCAGGTTCATTCAAAATAATTATGATTTGGAAAGGTCAACCATACATCAATTAGAAGACAGAGATGTTTATCAAAATAATTTCTTTATTTTTAGAATAACTGATTTGTAAACTTTCTAGAATGATTAGAAAGTAGGGCCATTTATTATTAAGAATGCCACAGACCATGATCACATTTATGATCACATAAATCCATATTCTCTTCATAAAAGAGGATATTTATCTCTCATTTATCTAGAGAAGCACAGAAGGCATTCAGCTTATTCAAAAGTAGCATGATCATTAAGGGGCATTCAGCTTATTCAAAAGTAGCATGATCATTAAGGAACACGTTCAAAAGAAGTTGGTTAGCAGAGTCTATCCTTTTTATTGACAGTGGAAACTATTAACTGGACCTTTAAAAGACCACTCGTAATGACCTTGGCTTCAGAATCAAAACACAGTACTATGTTTGTATGGGCCTACATAACCTAGGGTCTATAATGAGACATACGTTTTGGCCTACACTTGACTCGTGTCCACAAAGACCAAGAAGGAGAACTGTACCTTTTTCCTAATTTTTTTAGAGAAAAGAGCCATCAAAGGAGGGTAATACAAAAATTTTTAAGTAGAATAGGCCAGAAATGAGCCATCCAGCTACACGGTAGCACCTCCAGGAACCAGCTGCCAGGTCGCCACTGCTGGGTTTTTCACTTGCTCCTTTGTGGGGCTAGTGCCCCTGCTCCAGGCCTGCCTGAAGAGCTGCGGGGGAGGGTGCACCAGAGGAGACCTTCAAGATGGTGGAGGAGTGAGATGTGGAGATCACCTTCCTCCCCACAAATACATCAGAAATACATCTACATGGGAAACAACTCCTACAGAACACCTACTGAACACGGGCAGAAGACCTCAGACCTCCCAAAAGGCAAGAAACTCCCCCACGAACCTGGGTAGGGCAAAAGAAAAAAGAAAAAAAAACAGAGACCAAAGAATAGGGACTGGACCTGGACCACCGGGAGGGAGCTGTGAAGGAGGAGAAATTTCCACACACTAGGAAGCCCTTCACTGGCGGAGACGCTGGGTGGCAAGGGAGGAGTTTTGGAGCCGCCGAAGAGAGCGCAGCAACAGGGGAGCGGAGGGCAAAGCGGAGGGACTCCCGCACAGAGGATCGCTGCCGACCAGCACTCACCAGCCCGAGAGGCTTGTGTGCTCACCCGCCGGGGCGGGTGGGGCTGGGAGCTGAGGCTCCGGCTTTGGAGGTCAGATCCCAGGGAGAGGACTGGGGTTGGCTGTGTAAACACAGCCTGAAGGGGGCTAGTGTGCCACAGCGAGCCGGGAGGGAGTCCAGGAAAAAGTGTGGAACTGCCTAAGAGTCAGGAGACCATTATTTCAGGGTGTTCGAGGAGAGGGGATTCAGAGCACCGCCTAAAGGAGCTTCAGAAACGGGTGTGAGCCACGGCTATCAGCACAGACACCAGAGATGGGCATGAGATGCTAAGGCTGCTGCTGCAGCCACCAATAAGCCTGTGTGCAAGCACTGGTCACTATCCACACCTCCCCTCCTGGGAGCCTGGGCAGCCCACCACTGTCAGGGTCCCGTGATCCAGGGACAACTTCCCCAGGAGAACACACAGCACGCCTCATGCTGTTGCAATAGCACGCCAGCCTCTGCCTTCGCAGGCTCACCCTGCATTCCATACCCCGCCGTACCCGGGCCTCAGTGAGCCAGAGCCCCCTAATCAGCTGCTACTTTAACCCTGTACTGTCTGGGTAGGAAGAGATGTCCTCAGGGGACCTACACTCAGAGGTGGGGCCAAATCCAAAGCTGAACCCGGGGAGCTGTGCGAACAAAGAAGAGAAAAGGAAATTTCTCCCAGCAGCCTCAGCAGCGGATTAAATCTCCACAATCAACTTGATGTACCCTGCATCTCTGGAATATCTGAATAGACAATGAATTATCCCGAAATTTTGGTGGTAGACTTTGGGAGCAACTATATATTTTTTTCATTCTTATCTTTTTGTGAGTGTGTACGTATATGTTCTTCGTGTGATTTGGGCTGCATAGCTTTGCTTTTACCATGTGTCCTAGAGCTTTGTCTGTCCTTTTAATTTTTTTTTTAAGTATAGTTTGTAGCGCTTGTTATCAATGGTGGATGTGTTTTTCCGTTTGGTTTGTCTCTTCGCTCTTTCTCTTTTTTGAAATTACTTTTTAATTTTTAACATTTTTTTTTAATAAATTTACTTTCTTTTCTTTCTTTCTTTTTTTCTTTCTTTCTTTTTTTCTCCCTTTTCTTCTGAGTTGTGTGGCAGACAGGGTCCTGGTGCTCCAGCCAGGTGTCAGGCCTGTGCCTCTGAGGTGGGAGAGCCAAGTTCAGGACATTGGTCCACCACAGACCTCCTGGCTCCACGTAATATCACACGGCAAAAGCTCTCCCAGAGGGCTTCCCTGGTGGCGCAGTGTTTGAGAGTCCACCTGCCGATGCAGGGGAGGCAGGTTCATGCCCCGGTCCAGGAGGATCCCGCATGCCGCGGAGCACCTGGGCCCGTGAGCCATGGCCGCTGAGCCTGCGCATCCGGAGCCTGTGCTCCGCAACGGGAGAGGCCACAACAGTGAGAGGCCCACGTACCACAAAAAAATAAATAAATAAATAAAAATTTTTTAAAAAGCAGCTCTCCCAGAGATCTCCATCTCAAGGCTAAGACCCAGCTCCACTCAACGACCAGCAAGCTACAGTGCTGGACACCCTATGCCAAACAACTAGCAAGAATGGAACACAACCCCACCCATTAACAAAAAGGCTGCCTAAAAACATAATAAGGTCACAGACACCCCAAAACACACCATCAGACAAGGTCCTGCCCACCGAAAGACAAGATCTAGCCTCATCCACTAGAACACAGGCACTAGTCCCCTCCACCAGGAATCCTACACAACCCACTGAACCAACCTTAGCCACTGGGGGCAGACATCAAAAACAACAGGAACTACGAACTTGCAGCCTGTGCAAAGGAGACACCAAACACAGTAAGTTAAGCAAAATGAGAAGACAGAGAAACACACAGCAGATGAAGGAGCAAAGTAAAAACCCACTAGACCAAACAAATGAAGAGGAAATAGGCAGTCTACCTGAAAAAGAATTCAGAGTAATGATAGTAAAGATAATCCAAAATCTTGGAAATAGAATGGAGAAAATACAAGAAACGCTTAACAAGGAACTAGAAGAACTAAAGAGCAAACAAACAATCATGAACAACACAATAAATAAAATTTAAAATTCTCCAGAAGGAATCAGTAGCAGAATAACTAAGGCAGAAGAACGGATAAGTGACCTGGAGAATAAAATACTGGAAATAACTACTGCAGAGCAGAATAAAGAATAAAGAATGAAATGAATTGACAACAGTCTCAGAGACCTCTGGAACAACATTAAACCCACCAACATTCGAATTATAGGGGTCCCAGAAGAAGAAGAGAAAAAGAAAGGGACTGAGAAAATATTTGAAGAGATCATAGATGAAAACTTCCCAAATAAAGGAAAGGAAATAGTTAATCAAGTCCAGGAAGTGCCAAGAGTCCTATACAGGATAAATCCAAAGAGAAACACACCAAGAAACATATCAAACTATCAAAAATTAAATACAAAGAAAAATATTGAAAGCAGCAAAGGAAAAGCAACAAATAACATACAAGGGAATCCCCATAACGTTAACAGCTAATCCTTCAGCAGAAACTCTGCAAGCCAGAAGGGAGTGGCAGGACATATTTAAAGTGATGAAAGGAAAAAACCTACAACCAAGATTACTCTACCCAGCAAGGATCTCATTCAGATCTGACAGAAAAATTAAAACCTTTACAGACAAGCAAAAGCTAAGAGAATTCACCAAATTCTTTGCTTTGGTAAAGCACCACCAAACCAGCTTTATAAGAAATGCTAAAGGAACTTCACTAGGCAGGAAACAGAAGAGAAGGAAAACACTTACAATAACAAACCCAAAACAATTAAGAAAATGGTAATAGGAACATACATATCAATAACTACCTTAAATGTAAATGGATTAAATGCTCCAACCATTTACTTAAATGTAAATGGATTAAATGCTCCAATCAAATGCTCCAACCAAAAGACAAAGAATGGCTGAATGGACACAAAAACCAAGACCTGTATACATGCTGTCTACAATAGACCCACTTCAGACCTAGGGACACATACAGACCGAAAGTGAGGGGATGGAAAAAAGATATTCCATGCAAATGGAAATCAAAAGAAAGCTGGAGTAGCGATTCTCATCAGACAAAACAGACTTTAAAATAAAGACTATTACAAGAGACAAAGAAGGACACCACATAACGATCAAGGGATCGATCCAAGAAGAAGCTACAACAATTGTAAATATTTATGCACCCAACATAGGGGCACCTCAATACATAAGGCAAATACTAACAGCCATAAAAGGGGAAATCTACAGTAACACAATCACAGTAGGGGACTTTAACACCCCACTTTCACCAATGGACAGATCATCCAAAATGAAAATAAATAAGGAAACACAAGTTTTAAATGATACATTAAACAAGACAGACTTAATTGATATTTATAAGACATTCCCTCCAAAAAAAAGAGAACACACTTTCTTCTCAAGTGCTCATGGAACATGCTCCACGATAGATCGTATCTTGGGCCACAAATGAAGCCTTGATAAATTTAAGAAAATTGAAATCGTATCAAGTATCCTTTCCGACCACAACGCTATGAGACTAGATATCAATTACAGGAAAAAATCTGTAAAAAAAACACAAACACATGGAGGCTAAACAATACACTACTTAATAATGAAGTGATCACTGAAGAAATCAAACAGGAAATCAAAAAATACCTAGAAACAAATGACAGTGGAGACAAATGACAAAACCTATAGGAAGCAGCGAAAGCAGTTCTAAGAGGGAAGTTCATAGCAATACAATCATACCTCAAGAAACAAGAAACATCTCAAATAAGCAACCTAACCTTACACCTAAAGCAATTAGAGAAAGAACAAAACACTCCCAAAGTTAGCAGAAGGAAAGAAATCATACAAATCAGATCAGAAATAAATGAAAAAGAAATGAAGGAAACAACAGCAAAGATCAATAAAACTAAAAGCTGGTTGAGAAGATAAACCAAATTGATAAACCATTAGCCAGACTCATCAAAAAAAAAGGGAGAAGACTCAAATCAATAGAATTAGAAATGAAAAAGGAGAAGTAACAACTGACACTGCAGAAATACAAAGGATCTTGAGAGATTACTACAAGCAACTCTATGCCAATAAAATGGACAACCTGGAAGAAATGGACAAATTCTTAGAAAAACACAACCTTCTGAGACTGCACCAGGAAGAAATAGAAAATATGAACAGACCAATCATAAGTACTGGAATTGAAACTGTGATTCAAAATCTTCCAATAAACAAAAGTCCAGGACCAGATGGCTTCACAGGTGAATTCTATCAAACATTTAGAGAAGAGCTAACACCTATGCTTCTCCAAGTCTTCCAAAATATAGCAGAGGAAGGAACACTCCCAAACTCATTCTACGAGGCCACCATCAACCTGATACCAAAACCAGACAAGGATGTCACAAAGAAAGAAAATTACAGGCCAATACCACCGATGAACATAGATGCAAAAATCCTCAACAAAATACTAGCAAACAGAATCCAACAGCACATTAGAAGGATCATACATCACAATCATGTGGGGTTTATCCCAGGAATGCAAGGATTCTTCAGTATGTGCAAATCAATTACCGTGACACACCATATTAACAAACTGAAGGAGAAAAACCATATGATCATCTCAATAGATGCAGAAAAAGCTTTTGACAAAATTCAACACCCATTTATGATAAAAACCCTCCAGTAGTAAGTAGGCATAGAGGGAACTTACCTCAACATAATTGACAAACCCACAGCCAACATCACTCTCAATGGTGAAAAACTGAAACCATTTCCTCTAAGTTCAGGAACAAGACAAGGTTGCCCACTCTCACCATTATTATTCAAAAGAGTTTTGGAAGTTTTAGCCACAACAATCAGAGAAGAAAAAGAAATGAGGTATCCAAATTGGAAAAGAAGAAGTAAAACTGTCACTGTCTGCAGATGACATGATACTATATACATAGAGAATCCTAAAGATGCTACCAGAAAACTACTAGAGCTAATCAATGAATTTGGTAAAGTAGCAGGATACAAAATAAATGCACAGAAATCTCTTGCATTCCTATACACTAATGATGAAAAATCTGAGAGAGAAATTAAGGAAACACTCCCATTTACCACTGCAACAAAAAGAATAAAACACCTAGGAATAAACCTACCGAAGCAGACAAAAGACCCGTATGCAGAAAACTATAAGACACTGATGAAAGAAATTAAAGATGATACAAACAGACGGAGAGACATATCACATTCTCGGATTGGAAGAATCAACACTGTCAAAATGACTATACTACCGAAAGCAATCTATGGATTCAGTGCAATCCCTATCAAACTACCACTGGCATTTTTCACAGAACTATAACAAAAAATTTCACAATTTGTATGGAAACACAAAAGACCTCAAATAGCCAAAGCAATCTTGAGAAAGAAAAACGGAGCTGGAGGAATCAGGCTCCCGGACGTCAGACTACACTACAAAGCTACAGTAATCAAGACAGTATTATACTGGCACAAAAACAGAAAGAGAGATCAATGGAACAGGATAGAAAGCCCAGTGATAAACCCATGCACATACGGTCACCTTATCTTTGATAAAAGAGGCAAGAATATACAATGGAGAAAAGACAGCCTCTTCAATAAGTGGTGCTGGGAAAACTGGACAGCTAGCTACATGTAAAAGTATGAAATCAGAACACTCCCTAACACCATACACAAAAATAAACTCCAAATGGATTAAAGACCTAAATGTAAGGCCAGACACTATAAAACTCTTAGAGGAAAACATAGGCAGAACACTCTATGATATACATCACAGTAAGATCCTTATTGACCCACCATCTAGAGTAATGGAAGTAAAAACAAAAATAAACAAATGGGACCTAATAAAACTTAAAAGCTTTTGCACAGCAAAGGAAACCATAAACAAGATGAAAAGACAACCCTCAGAATGGGAGAAAATATTTGCAAATGAAGCAACTGACAAAGGATTAACCTCCAAAATATACAAGCAGCTCATGCAGCTCAATATCAAAAAAACAAACAACCCAATACAAAAATGGGCAGAAGACCTAAATAGATATTTCTCCAAAGAAGATATAGACTGCCAACAAACACATGAAAGAATGCTCAACATCATTAATCATTAGAGAAATGCAAATCAAAACTACAATGAGATATCATCTCACACCAGTCAGAATGGCCATCATCAAAAAATCTAGAAACAATAAATGCTGGAGAGGGTGTGGAGAAAAGGGAACACTCTTGCACTGCTGGTGGGAATGTGAACTGATACAGCCACTATGCAGAACAGTATGGAGGTTCCTTAAAAAACTACAAATAGAACTACCATACGACCCTGCTATCCCACTACTGGGCATATACCTTGAGAAAATTATAATTCAAAGAGTCATGTACCACCATGTTCACTGCAGCTCTATTTACAACTGTCAGCATGGAAGCAACCTAAGTGTCCATCAACAGATGAATGGACAATGAAGATGTGGCTCATATATACAATGGAATATTACTCGGCCATAAAAAGAAACGAAATTGAGTTATTTGTAGTGAGGTGGATGGCCCTAGAGTCTGTCATACAGAGTGAAGTAAGTCAGAAAGAGAAAAACAAATACCGTATGCTACCACATATATATATGGAATCCAAAAAAAAAAAACAAAAAATTGTTATGAAGAACACAGGGGCAGGAGAGGAATAAAGATGCAGATGTAGGGAATGGACTTGAGGACATGGGGATGGGGAAGGGTAAGCTGGGACGAAGTGAGAGAGTGGCATGGACTTATATATACTACCAAATGTAAAACAGATAGCTAGTGGGAAGCAGCCGCATAGCACAGGGAGATTAGCTCAGTGCTTTGTGACCACCTAGAGGGGTGGGAGGGAGACATAAGAGGGAGGAGATATGGGGATATATGTATATGTATAGCTGATTCACTTTGTTATAAAGCAGAAAGTAACACATCATTGTAAAGCAATTATACTCCAATAAAGATGTTAAAAAAAATAAAGTAGAATATATTTGCAGAGGTAAAGAAATGCCTGCTTAGTAGTTTCCACTCTGATCACAACACAGTGGACACTTGGTTGGCCCCAACTAAATCCTTCACTAGTGTTCATAAATGGGGATTTTCTTTACAATCTGATCTCAATTTTATTACTCTACCTCCAGTGCTGAAACATTTCATTTTCTTTCTTCATGTTCAGTATTATGTTTCATACCTAAACTCTGCTAAAGAAGACATATGGCTTCCACTTTAAAATTCACTGCATATTCTACAATTATACTACATAAATATCAAAACACTTCAAAAGTAAAATGTTCATACCTTTGGACTGGATTTTTTCACAATTTGGAGAAATTATAACACATTTGATCTTGTTTAACTTCATATGTTTCGTAACCTCTCTTAGACCCATGACCAGCCGTCTCCTCGCTTTTGCTCTTACAGGATCCTTTTGGTAGATGCGTTCCTGGAAGCTGACAAGCTCTTGAAGAAGAAGAGTCACACATTCATCAATCTCTTTACAAAGAACCTGATTACAGTACCTGTAAAGGAAACCAAAAGTAGGTAATTATAAAATTATTTTAGGAAAAAAATACATCCAGTAAACAGGTTTTCATTAAAAAATCAAGTCTTGAAAAATCTCCTAAATCCTTCAGCTAATTAGAAAAACAGAAGAGTTTTCCTGAATTACAACAGATCGGCTTTTATGCAAAGGATAGATTAACCTCAGGGAAGTACTAATCAAACACCCAATTATTAAATTCCTAAGGATATAAATCAAATGTTAACCTGCTATTAGATAAACAGGTATAATGTTTTTGGTAAAAAGATAATGTATAAAGTTATTTCATTCCAATGAATACTAAAGATGCTTCTAATAAGAAACAAATTAATTTCATAAAAGCTAACTGAATGCCCTAATACCAACCATTCATCCTCCACGCTTGGATAAATCACAGTCTCCAGCACTGGCTTCCTCAACCATAAAAATAAAGAGTTACGGATGACAGCCTCAATGGTCCCTCTACCTCTGAAAATCTATGGTTACAGCGGATGAATTCAGTAGTTAAACTGAAGCCAAAACCAAAGAGGTCTTGAGGTAAAAGTCATATGGCTTTATATCAGGCAAAGCAACTGAATGAGGCTCTTTGTGAGATCATATATGGCTACAACGCAAAACACAGAAAGCAAGTAGTGTGAGGTCACTATAGTACTTAATTTCAAGGATAAGGAAGTCATTCTAGTTTAAGTAAACTCCTTACACATTCCACTTTGCTAGTTTTCATCCATAATCTATCTCTACCATAAGCAGGCACTTAACGAGGAAAATTGGTAAAATTTCTAATCTAGGAATGCCAGGCCAGCAAATTACCAGTTCTAAATTACTGATACATTATATGGTGGGAAAATCTAGGCCTGCCTTTCTTTAGTGAAAAAAAATGTTCTGCTTTGGAAATTTTTTTAATGTTTATGTGAAAAGTGTTTAAATAAATGCAAGTATGATATTACTTCAGAACAGAAGAAATAACTGGACAGACTGAGGAAAGGTTATCATAAAGTATACAAAATTAAAGAATGCAATTGAAGAATAAAACATCAAAAACGCAATTTTCTTCACTCTGCTTTTCTTCCAAGCTGTGTATTTCACACATATGTAAGATTTTATTCTCCAAGTATTTCCTTTGTCACACATCTGTGATATTTAATTAACTTCCCAAACCTAGGCGATAAGTATTTGCTCAAAAACAATAATATAAAGGAACAGAACAAACCAATGTGGTTTGGATTCACACACATTTTACCTTCACCCTGGGATTCTTTCATAGGTAAACTTAATTTCAAAGGTAAAATTAATTTACCTACACAAATGTCTACATTCTAAAATCCTTCACAGCAATAACTGTCAGTTCAAGGTTACTCACAGATGGGCATTTTCAAACTTAGAAATATATGCTTAAAAACAAATAGGTTTAGGGCTTCCCTGCTGGTGCAGTGGTTGAGAGTCCGCCTGCCGATGCAGGGGACACGGGTTCGTGCCCCGGTCCGGGAAGATCCCACATGACGCGGAGCGGCTGCGCCCGTGAGCCATGGCCGCTGAGCCTGCGCGTCTGGAGCCTGTGCTCCGCAAAGGGAAAAGCCACAAGAGTGAGAGGCCCGTGTACCACAAAAAAAAAAAAAAAAAAAAAAAAAAGAACAACAACAAAAACCAAATAGGTTTATGTAACAGGTTCACTACATGTAGGAGGATCTTAGAAACTTGTTATTAATTGGTTAGAGAGGTTTTTTTTGAAGGGCCAATAATATAAACAAAAAAGCAAAAGCATTTGGAGAGGAAAAATGTCACAGTATGACATTTTATATAATACACAAGCTGTAAGAGGTCAAATTTCATGGGTATAAACACCAGCTGATATAAAAAGAATGTATTTACTGTCAAATCACTTTTACATGAACACTGACAGCTGACAGAAGGCCAATACTTTCCATATAATAAAACCTGTTGTTACACAAAATCTGAAAGAACTTAAAGATCTTTGGTATTCTATCTGTTCAACCCACCAAGAAAGGATGACAATATTATATTCAGAACTACAGTCAAGATACCTAAGCTATTCAACCTCAATAAGGAGACTAAAACTTACTCTCTAAATCTTTTGCTGTGGATTTTCGTTATTGTCGAAGATGCCATTGGACTGCCTATCCCAGAACTAGCCGGAGAGCCTTGTGACACAGGTGTCATACAGTACGGAGAGTTCTGACTTGCTGGAGAGAGGGATGCATCACTGGGCATGCTCAGTCCAGCATCTGTGGAGATGTGGGGTGAGGGGAAAGAATTTAGAAATTCTGAATGCTGAAAAGCTCTATACTGATCAACATAATTTAGAACGGCAGTTACCTTTTGTTATCACTTCCAAATTCTCCAGAAGCTACCAAGTTGGGCATTGTTCGTATCACAAACATTTCTCATATACTACAAAAATCAAATTTTCCTATTATGTCTTAAAATATACTCTGAAAAATATCAAGCATAGCCTACAAGTCTCCACAGAAGAGATGCAAGAAGGCCAAGTTATCTAAAACATGTATTCCCAAGGGATCTAAATTGAAGACCGACCATCAGCATAACAACGCTCCCTGTTCTCCCTGGCCTGTCCTTCCTTTCTGGATTTTACACTTTTTTCAGATGGCCTT